CACGACCTATATCTCCAAAATGTAACTTTATTAGCTCAATATTTCGCTATTACAGCTTCGTCAGAAGCTATCGATATCCTAAAATATCAGTAATCCATTGTAATAGCAAAATATTGAGCTAATAAAGTTTTATTGGTTTTATTTACGTTTATAGATCATCTTCTTATTTTTCTTAACACAAAGCTACACAATGGGTTATGTGCGCTCTATCCCGGATTATGGCCCGGCATGGCCAGATGGCTAGGGCACTCGACTTGCAATCTGAGGGTCGCGGGTTCGAATCCCCGTCACACCAAAACATGATCACCCGGTGTCCGAACTAAGACGTAAGTCCTACTTCCGGATATTCACCTTCAACAGCATTTGGAGGTGTGAGAAACACCATACGAAACTACTGTTTTGAATTTTAGCGTTTTATATCCGCAAACTTACATCTTACTCATCGGGAGACAGAGCTTGTTCAGTTGCATATTGCGGTCTCAGACCTTGGGTTTTCCACCACGCAGTTCAGCACAGTAACTGCTAAATAACACCCCGTCTTAAAATATAAATAATGGTCTTCAGAAACAATACTACAATTAGCTGTATTCTATCTACTTTAGAATGATTTAATCATTTGCAACTTAAGTAACTCGTACTGGTACCGGTTTTCTGCAGTTACTGAATGTTTATTAATAACTTTCGTTCAAAAGTAAGCTAATTATATAGCTCACAACTAAAATGTAACGTGTAAGTTTATTAAGACAATTCTAATCATAAACTGACTAGCTATAAATAATATCACAAATTATTACCGACAAATTAGAGCTTATAATGATTAAAATGCATTGAATCATCTGTGGGGTAACCTCGTTGCTAACGTTATTTTCAGCCGTAAATTCAACAACAGTAACTTTAGCCAACTTCCAGGAACTTAGATTAGTCCTGAATACATTTATTAAGCTAAGAGTGAAAACTAACCTTCATAAGCGAAAAAAGTTAATAATAATAATATTAACTTATTTTAAACTTTACAACCCATAATATTAATGAAATTAACTTTAAAAGAAAGATTGAGTTATTACCAGTAAACCATAAAATCAAGTAGTTTCTGTCACTGATTCCCTAGAAAATGTAATTAGTTCTTTTATAATGCTTATTCATGTATGCAATTAAATTATCAATTTTTTCAGACATATTATAAGGGAAGGGATCATTTTTTTTTCAGACATATCATAAGGGAAGGGATCTGTCTGTTTTTTTCAGACATATTATAAGGGGAAGGATCTGTTTTTTCAGACATATTATAATGGAAAGGATCTGTTTTTTTTCAGGCATATTATAAGGGTAGGGATCTGTTTGTTTTTTTCAGACATATTATAAGGGAATGGATCTGTTTGTTTTTTCAGACATATTATAAGGGGAAGGATATGTTTTTTTCAGGCATATTATAGGGTTGGGATCTGTTTTTTTCAGGCATATTATAAGGGTAGGGATCTGTTGTTGTTTTTTTCAGACATATTATAAGGGAAGGGATCTTTTTTTCAGACATATTATAAGGGAAAGGATCTGTTTGTTTTTTCAGACATATTATAAGGGGAAGGATCTGTTTTTTTTTCAGGCATATTATAAGGGTAGGGATCTGTTTTTTTTCAGGCATATTTTAAGGGTAGGGACCTGTTGTTTGTTTTTCAGACATATTATAAGGGAAAGGATCTGTTTGTTTGTTTTCTTACGAAAAATTATTTTAAATCTTCATGAAAAACGGTAAATAAATCTGTAACCAAATGTAATTGAGATATCTTGAAATATTACTGAAAATACGCATAATTGAATATATACCATCTGACAATTTATATAGGTCAGAGTTTTAGCAGAAAACTATAGAAAACAGAATTTTTATTTTAAGATTACTACCTTTTATTATACAGACTAATGGTAGGGGAGCAACTTGTGTTTTACATATATGACCGATGTGTGATATGCAGGAAGATATAAGGTCAAAGGATCTTATCTTTTAACCTACAAGCATTGATACTTTTTAACGTAGATTAATGGAAATGAAAACGAAACGTTTTGTTATACTTTTTGCTCCCTTATATATGTTTTAGATTTGTGGTAGAAAATCGATTTGTACTGTTTTGCGTGAACAATATGTTAACTTTTATCTGATCAAACGACGTATCGCAAACCTTGTATTGTTTTATATTTTCTGTATTAGAATATCAGTATGAGTATAAAAAAAACTATCTCGTAAAACGGATCTATTGAAGAATCTGACAGCATTTTGTTGCTTGTGTGTGCGTGAACAAACTCTTTCATTTCTTATCTAATTGCTGCTGTTTTAAAGCTCCAAACTGTGCGTTGTAATATTTTTACAGCATAAACAACGCCTTCCAACCAATTATTACTCGTAGATACAATTGTGTCACATTATCAATGTATAATTAAGTTGTAATTCTATCTTGACCAAGCGCAGGGTAATAATCATTAAAATAGCAAGTAAAATCTAAAAAAAAAAGATAATTAACCATAAAATAAAAAGGAAAAATAGTGAGAGAATATGTAAAAGGTTAAAAAAACGTAAAACATACACACTTATGAGAATGTAAAAAAATAGAATAAAATAAACAACAGCATGAAAAAGTAAAATAGAATAATTACCTATTAAATTATTTTTATATGGAAATGAACTTAAATTAAAACCATTCTCCAGTACATGTAGATAGTATTCTACAAACATCAATATTGATTAAAGATTTAGATTATTTTTCATTAGTTATTACCGTAAATATATTTATTTACGTAGTGTGTTCCTTCAACAAGCCTGAAGTTAACTGTGACAAACTTTTATTTTATGAAAAAATATGAAATTGAACGTGTTTCGATTCCATTATAAATTGAACTTTAATGATCCCGTCTTTTTTGTATTTTTTTTATTCCACACAAACTTATACTACTCTATAACACTTGAAGCGCTCGTAAAATGACTGCCATGGAAGACCCCAACTGACACTGTATTGAATACAAATAAGTCTCGTGCGATGGAGAAAATGGCTCCAGAACTGGCAAGAAACCAGCGGTATGCTTTAGTCTACATATGATTTTGTGTTTATTTAACGGAAATGCGTTCACAACAGAACGGAGTAAAGTTGACCAAATGTCATCTTCTCCTTGGTTAAGATTTTGTCATTTTTATCTTTGTTCAGGTGCCTAAAATGCGGACACATTATTTCGAAAATCTTCTCTCAAAACAAACATTTTAGCCCCAGAATTGATTCATTGAAGTTCAATAGGCTTTATAGTGTAAATATATCTTAATGACGAAAAAAAAACGTTTTCTTACGTGCGAGAGGGGAATTAAATTATAACTATTTATAATTTATAATATATAATTATTTATGTATATAAATTATACGTTATTATAACTGAGATTGAGAAGATAGACGTTATATTTCTATCGTTATTATAACTGAGATATGAGAAAATAGACTTTACATTTCTATCTCAGTTATAATAACGATTGAGAAGATAGACGTTATATTTCTATCGTTATTATAACTGAGATATGAGAAGACAGACGTTATATTTCTAGCGTTATTATAACTGAGATATGAGAAGACAGACGTTATATTTCTATCGTTATTATAACTGAGATATGAGAAGACAGACGTTATATTTCTATCGTTATTATAACTGAGATTGAGAAGATAGACGTTAAATTTCTATCGTTATTATAACTGAGATTGAGAAGATAGACGTTAAATTTCTATCGTTATTATAACTGAGATTGAGAAGATAGACGTTAAATTTCTATTGATTAATCAACCAAGCAACAAAATATAGTATATACGTTACCCCATAAAACATTAAGAATATCCTCTAAATACAACCATCAGAATAGAGAACAAACAATTTAATAAATCAAGATTGTAAGATATTTTATCTCTTTACTTATATGTATATAAAGGTGGTAATGAGACGTCAGGAACTACGCTTTTCTCTTCTGAGATGTTATTTAAAGATTAAGTTTCTATCATTTAATGTTTCTCTCTCTCTCTCTTCTCGAACATGTAAACTCCTTTATTAATTCAAGTATTGTACTTAATACGGTTTTTTACTGTTTTCATAATTCGTGAAAAAAAGCGAGATGTTACTAAATGTCAGCCCCCCAGTGGCACAGCGGTATGTCTGCGGACTTACAAAGCTAGAATCCGGGTTTCGATACCCGTGGTGGGCAGAGCACAGATAGCCTATTGTGTAGCTTTGTGCTTACTTAAAAACAAACAAACAAACAATACTAGATGTCAGTTGTGCAAAAGTAAAATCCCTTGATTGTCGCACAGTTTGACTTTATGAAGACCGATACAAAACAATTAGAAACATATTCTAATAAACATGTAAGGAAAAGAGAAAAAACATATATGTATACTGTATATATAGAATATAAACATAAATATATATATATCAGTACTTTACAAATACATATATGTATGCTGTATATATAGAATATAAACAGAAATATATATGTATACTGTATATATAGAATATAAACAGAAATATATATGTATACTGTATATATAGAATATAAACAGAAATATATATATCAGTACTTTACAAATACATATATGTATGCTCTATATATAGAATATAAACAGAAATATATATCAGTGCATAAACAGAAAATATATATGTATACTATATATATAGAATATAAACAGAAATATATATCAGTGCTTTACAAATATATATGTGCTGTATATATAGAATATAAACAGAAATATATATCAGTACTTTACAAATACATATATGTATGCTCTATATATAGAATATAAACAGAAATATATATGTATCAATATATATCGCTAAAAATACCATTTAAAATGAAAATACAACACCTAATTCAGTGAGCAAAGTGCTAATACTGGAAATCATCATGGCGTCCCTAGATTCATTGCGCATGGGCAGTTCGACAATTTCAAGTAAAGACATATTTGTGGAAAGAGGGCGGTAATGTGCAGGCAACCTTTTGAATAATATAAAGGCAGTCTACTGGAAATTTTTTTATCTATTTAATTTCAATGATTTAGTTTTTTTATGTGTGAATCAGTGTGAATTAATGCCCGTGCTTCTCATTAACATATGCACTTCAGCTTATACTAGTAAATTCCTGTGTTATTTTCTCCCCGTGATTAGATTCTTGTGGCACAGCTGTAAATAAATAATCAAATATTTAATAAACAAGCATTGGAACGGTATAGGACTAATTCTCTCATTCCATGTGTTTCTAACAAGACAATGGATGTTTAGGACTGTTTGTGTTGTTATACGATGTTACGTTTTATCGCAGAATATATTATAATAAGATATATTATCATCACATCGTAGCGCTTTCTTCGAAATTACGGAATTAGTTTTAACTATTACTTGAACGGATAACAACTTTTACGCGAAACTGCGTCTTTCAATATTTATTGCTGAATAATGAGACACATGTAAAATAAACAATTACAATGAATCAGGATTAGAGATTGCACTAACCACACGATGTTAATTAGAAATTTCACTAACCACACGATGTTAATTAGAAATTTCACTAACCACACGATGTTAATTAGAGATTGCCCTAACCACACGATATTAATTAGAGATTTCACTAACCATACGATGTTAATTAGAAATTTCACTAACCACACGATGTTAATTAGAGATTTCACTAACCACACGATGTTAATTAGAAATTTCACTAACCACACGATGTTAATTAGAGATTGCACTAACCACACGATATTAATTAGAGATTTCACTAACCACACGATGCTAATTAGAGATTTCACTAAGCACACGATGTTAATTAGAGATTGCACTAAGCACACGATATTAGAGACTTCACTAACCACACGATGTTACTTAGAGATTGCACTAACCACACAATGTTAATTAGAAATTTCACTAACCACACGATGTTAATTAGAGATTGCACTAACCACATGATGTTAATTAGAGATTGCACTAAGCACACGATATTAGAGACTTCACTAACCACACGATGTTAATTAGAGATTGCACTAAGCACACGATATTAGACTTCACTAACCACACGATGTTACTTAGAGATTGCACTAACCACACAATGTTAATTAGAGATTGTACTAATCACATGATTTTAATTTATTTTACTTTGCACATTGAAAACTGAGAAGTACTGATTAACTGTGCATTTGTACTATGTAAGCACTGATTAATTGTGCATTTTTACTATGTAAGCGCTAAAGAGACATATAAAGAAACAAATAGTTAGATAGATACTCATTGAGACGGTGTTTCCCGAAACAACATTCAAAGCCTTCAGGATAGTATTTTTGTAAAATATTTAATAATGCCGAACGATTTTATGAAATATGTTGTTCTAAATTTATATTAACCAATGACATGTTGTTATTTTATTTAATAACTTAACCGCAAAATTCCTCAGTTGTTCGTTAAACTAAATGTTTACATTTGAAACTGTACGTATTGTTTTGGGTGTTTTAGCTATGTTCTTATTTTTGTACGTTTGTTACATATTCTGGTGTCGTACGGTTTGAAGGCAGAAATAAATGTGGTTGTATAAATATAAAAATAAAGCACGGTTATGATAGATTATTTAAAATATGAACCAGCCATTTAAAGGAACCCAAATTTTTATTGTTGGTTTTTTTGTGTTATTCCTATAGATTATGTAAAATATGAACCAGCCATTTGAAGGAGCCCAAATTTTGATTGTTGGATTTTTTGTGTTTCTTCTATAGATTATGTAAAATATGAACCAGCCATTTGAAGAAGCTCAAATTAGTTTTTTGTCACTCCTTTTAATCACAAACGGTCAGTTAAACTTAGAAACAACTTACAGCGACCTCTATATTTTTAGATTTGTGTTATAAAATAATCCAAGAATTATATGTTATATACGAGAAAATATAAGGAAAGCTAGTAATATGACACGAATTTATATCTTATATTTTTGAAAAGTATCTAGTTTATATTTATTTTAACAATTTTATTCGTTTATTAGCGTAGAAAAAGCACGCAAAGTATTAGATATTGAAGAAATTCATGCCTTTTAATTTACTTACAGATAAAGCATAATAATCCACAGCAACAGCTATTCAGTTAACTTACCTTGGTACGTTAGCACAAGTAATGGTAAGTTCTTGATATAATATCCGTAATATATATATATCATAATATTCCTGATATGTATCATAATATCCGTAATATATATCATAATATTCCTAATATTTATCATAAAATTCCTAGTATATATCATAAAATTCTTAGTATATATCATGATATTCGTAATATGTATCGTAATATTCGTAATATGTATTATAATACCCGTAATATACATATCATAATATTCGAAATATGAATCATAATATTTGTACCATAATATTCGAAATATGAATCATAATATTTGTACCATAATATTCGGAACATGCATCATAATATGCGTAACAATAGTTTTAAGTGTACCTCAAATAATGTCATTTGTACGACAGAACGACTTTATTGCAGTGAGATTCGCGAATCGGTAAAGTTTTCCTTCACCAGCAGGTGTCTGATGAGCGTAAATCAGGTATGTTAGATTCCTAATAGAATCCTCTCACGATCCAGTCAGATATATAAAAAGGGGATATATAATTTAACGATCACTGAAAATATAAATAATACTAGAAGCTGCTTTTTTGTTTCAATTATGCACAGTGTAAATTTTGCGGGTTTAGGTTTTAAAATAATTCATTTTGAAAAACAAAATAGACATAAAATTATATAATAATTTATAACCAAAATAACTCATGCTGAATCCCAGTTTTTTTCAATGAGAACTATGATGACCTTTTACCACTTAATATGCAAAGTAGCAAATCAAAAGTTTCAACAACAAAAAAATTAAGAACATAATTGAAAATCCAGTATCCTGGACAAAGGAACAAAGTGATTGAACTTTCATTAATGCTAGTTTCATTTTTTTTATGCTTGCTCGATAACTCAAGTACAAATAAGCATGGTTTTATTACATTTGCAATACAATTTGCTTTATAAATGTTCGAACAACAATTGATAATTTAACAACTTATGTCACATGATGTATTGAAGAGAAGAAGAAGATTCTGATTGTATGTAATGTATGATATTTTTGTATTCTAAAATGAGCATAATGAAGTCTTACTAAGCAGCTTATCTTTATTTGATACAACGGAATTAATGTAATAATATTAACAAGATGTAACACCTGTCTGCAAATATCCGGTTTGACTTTCTATATTGATCTGTCTATTTAAAATTAAAATAAATTCTTTAAACTTTAAACTGCATTCTATCTTAGTTTAGTGTGTATACCAGCTAAAACATGAAAAAATATAAGAAGAAAGAAATGATGCCAGTTTCTAACCAGCACAACAACAGAGTAAGTTTGATTATTTTATTACGGTATACCAGATAAAACACGTAAAAAATATAAGAAGATAAAATTATGTCAGTTCCTAACCAGCACAACAACAGAGTAAGTTTGGTTATTTTATTACGGTATACCAGATAAAACATGAAAAAATATAAGAAGATAAAATGATGCCAATTCCTAACCAGCACAACAACAGAGTAAATTTAGTTGTTTTATTCATGCAGAACCTTACTTCTATTATTTTAAGAACTTTTCACCCCAAACACTTTTTACTTTTTCTTTCTCTGAAAATATAACCTTTCAACCTTATCATTTCACAAAGAAGTCTGTTCAATTCTATTTCTCTTAATGAGTGAAAAAAATGATATTTAAATATATATATATATATATATATATATGTGTGTGTGTGTGTGTGTGTGTGTGTGTGCACCTTATGTTTTATTCGAAGTATCTGAAAAATATCTAAAATACATAATTTGTCTCAGCTTCTTAGGTCGTTAAAAACCAGCATTTTTCTCGAATATGTTGACGTTTAGTTGATGTAAGAGATACATACCTCGTATTTTTCAGTGTTTATTTTTGACGTCTAGTTGATGTAAGATATACATACCTCGTATTTTTCAGTGTTTATTTTTGACGTCTAGTTGATGTAAGATATACATACCTCGTATTTTTCAGTGTTTATTTTTGACGTCTAGTTGATGTAAGATATACATACCTCGTATTTTTCAGTGTTTATTTTTGACGTCTAGTTGATGTAAGATATACATACCTCGTATTTTTCAGTGTTTATTTTTGACGTTTAGTTGATGTAAGAGATACATACCTCGTATTTTTCAGTGTTTATTTTTATTTCAACTATAATATTTTACAAACTGGTGCCACGATTCTTCACATCTACCTTATTGAAAGTGAGCACAGGTTAACGCTTTATAATACTTTTCTTCTACTGCATCCTACTTAAATAGTATCATTACAAACCAAGTTAATTTTAATGAGTTAATATATAAAAACGCATACATATGTTCGTATGTTTTATTTCAGAATCAGTCAGCTTCCGATTTTCTTATTTTTCCACTTCACATATTATGTTTGGGAAAAGTGAGTGGACTTTTGGACTTTGTGCTCTTTCTAATGTAACACGATGGGTTTAACTTTTTTATTACTCAAACAATTTTTCTGTTGCTTATAATTTATATATATATATATATGCAACTTAAATTTCACAAAAGCTTATAGAAAAACTCACAGGTATTTATGTATGAGTTAAATATTTCTTAAATAGCATTTCATCTCCAAAAACGCTCACTAGTTTGTTCAAGACGTTCGTTAAGATTTTCTAAGAGAAAAAAAAGTGTCTACATAATTTTTCTAGGTTTACAGTAAACCTCTTTAAAGAATGAATTTAGTCATTGTTTACCATTCTAAATGTAAGATTCAACTTGCAACAAGTCTGCACATCATCTATTTTACTATTATAATCTCAACATGACTGTTAAAG